CGGAGCAGCAATGTTCGCCGAGCGCTCTTCACCTCCCTGGTAAGCGGAGTCGTACCGCTTCCAGCACTTCCAAGCAACATGCCCAACTTTGCCACAGATCTGGCACGTTGGTTTGGCAGCGGGGTTTTTGTTGAAGCCGCCACCGTTTCCTCCTGAATTGCCACGGCCACCCCCGCCGCTGGGCTTGTTGAAGTTCCGGCCGCGGTCACCACCGCCGTCGGCTTGCTTGTTGTTGAAGGGGCGACCGCGGTCACCACCGCCGCCGCCATTGCCGTTCTGCTTGTTGGAGTTGGTGAAGCGCCCGCATGATGCAGCGTTGGCGGAGGACTGAGAGGCTCCCCCGCGGAGGTTCATGCGCGTCTCGAAGCTCAGAAGCTGCGAGTACAGCTCCGGGACGGTTACAGGTTCGACCCGTGAGCACATGGCCGAAACCACGGGATCGAATTCTTCCTCCAGCCCGGCAAGGATGTGTGAAACCACATCTTCTTCGTCCACCTTTTTTCCTGAAGCCATCAACTCATCACAAAGAGTTCTGATCTTACCAACGTACTCCGTGATGGTGGAGTTGCCCTTCTGAAGATTCGCCAGTGCGATCCTGACATTGACGGACCGTGCTCGGGTATGCGAGGTGAGCATCCCTTGCACGGTGTTCCACAGCTCCGCGGCGGTGTGGCAGGTTGCCACCTGGATGGCCATCTCACGAGGTAACGTAGTCAGCAGATAGGAAAACACCTGCTGATCACGAGCGTACCAGGTGCCAAACTCAGGGTTGGCGGCCTTCGTCTTGGCCTTGTCGTCGCTGCTGGTCACCTCGATCGTCGTGGGAGGCACTTCTTGCTCCAGATCGAGGAAGCCCGCCATCTGCGCCCCCCTGATGGCAGAGAGGACGGTGGCGCGCCAGAGGGCTTCGTTCCCCTTCGATAGCTTCTCTGTGGCGATGTGTGCAAAGGGAGATGAGGGGAACGTATTTGTGGATGAGCTCGCCATGGATGAATCCGAGGTAGGCTCTGATTACCATAAAAGATTGAAAGGAGATGATGTGAAGCGTATGCCTCCTGGCAGGGACGTCTGCGTGTTATATAGCCAACAAAGAGTACAAGATGCGACGGCAGGTGGTTGAGTCTTGACCCCTAGTGCAAGCTATACATGGATATCTACTAGCACCGGTTCCCTCTAACCACCTGCCTTGATACACAAGTTAACACACACGCACGCACATCTACAATCGTGACAATGTCACGTTACAATGCAAGTCCATCATCTAACACTTGCCTCTCGTGCCTTGAGCTAGCCTAAGAAAATGAGAAAATCCAGCCAGGCTCCATGAGCACCATGTGGCCTCCCACAATATAGCCCAAGCAAATCTAGCCACAATGCATCTGCAGAGAATATGGTCTTGATTTTTCATCTTGGCTGCACCAAACACATTTTCCATCGCACTTGTTCTCCACTTGGGATAGGAAGATATTGATTTTTGCGGGATGCAAGCCTTCCAAAATGTCCCTCAAATCACATGGGGGAGCGGCCCTAAATATTCCTTGTAATCCAAACCCATGGAGAACATGCCCGAGGCCTCTAGTCTCCATGAGATAACATCGCAGCCATATGATATGTGTATGCCACTAACGCTTCCAGCAACCCATGCAACTCCAGGGCATCCTGTTCCCCAAACGTCCTTCTAAAGCGGGCATCGCCAAATATTTGACTAGGATAGACCCGAGTTCACAATTCATCATAGTCCAACTTGTCCACGATGGATCGAGACATGTTTTGTGCATAACCTTTTCCAAACAGTCCCATCTTGCTCTATGATACGCCTTCTCGAAATCAATTTTTTCAATGCAAGTATTATCAATTAGATAGTGCTCAGCGAATGACACACAGATGTAGGGTTGTGATGCATCGATAATCATCAAGAGGTCGGATGCCGAGTGGGGGGAACCCTGACGACCAGTCGCTGAAGTCGCATGGGTTTTAGACGATCATGGACGCCAAGGCTGTGGTGAAGAGCAACCCGCGGTGCCGTCACATGGTGTCCTACGCCGACATACACGCCCTCCGAATCACCGCACGAGAATTCCCCATCCAGGTAATCACTCGAAATCAATTTTTCCGTGATGGCTCACATAGTTTGAGCACGTGAAATGCTACACACATTCCTTGTACCGTGCATTGTTGCAGAGGCAATGAGAGTACTACCAGGTGGAACTGGGTGGGTACGGCGGGAGGATCTCGACGAAGGACAGGGTCGTGTTGCCGCACTTCGACTTCAGCCTTGATAACCTCGCCACCTTCTTCTCAACCTTAGGCCTCTCCCAGACGGACATAATCGCGCTGTTAGGTACTAACTCAACTAGTACCCGTCAACGGACCATCATGTTGACCATCCCGCGTCACTTGTGTGTGAATTCAGGTGGCCACACCATGGGCGATGTGGATTGTGCCTTCTTCGAATACAAGATCGGCACTGACCTAAACAAGAACTCGAGTTTA